CAAATTTACGACGAATCAACCGCTGGTGTGTCGGTCAAGATGGAATGGTACTTACAATCAGGCGCTCGAGGAGTCCCACAGGATGGAAGCCGTTCATTGGATTGTGCTGATCATGAGCAGCTGCATCTATTTCGCCATTTATTATTTCCATTGCTTCACGGCCTGCAGCTAGGTCGTCGGGTCCGCCGTTTTCAAATGGCTGCGCATTTCTTGAAGTCATTTCAATCTCCTGGCCAAGAGAGTCGATCTTTGTCCATTTAAATTCACGACCGAAACTCACCTTCATTGAGTGCGAATCGGGCTCTTCGTGTGCTTTGCCCACTTCTCTGATGTGCCTCCATGCGCGGGAATAAGGCTCATGTCGAACGTGAAGGCGGGGTGTCTCATGTTGGGTGGCGGCTGTTGGACCACCTGGGCAATTATTATTCCCTGCGGTATATGCGAGATACCTTTGTGGGTAGTACATGAATGGGTACGGAAGGTCATGGCGGGACAGCGCGGAAACCTGAGCTGCAGGCGGAGGGACAAGCCCACCGGACGACGACGCTCCCTCCACCGCAGTTGTATGCTCGGGAGATATAACTGAAGGTTCGTCATTTGCTAGTATAGGCTGTGATACAGTTGATGGGTAGCGTGGTTCCTCTACTCGGCGTAACGGCACCATGACGGGCATAGCTTTCGAAAGCCGATTAGCGAGTGGCAGTCTGGCGGGCAGAATGGGTAGGGAACGACAGAGTCCACCGCAGCTGCATGCCCGGAAGATATAACTGAAGATTCATCATTTGCTAGTATAGGCTGTGATACGGTTGATGGGTAGCGTGGTTCCTCTACTCGGCGTAACGGCACCATGACGGGCATAGCTTTCGAAAGCCGATTAGCGAGTGGCAGTCTGGCGGGCAGAATGAGTAGGGAACGACAGAGGAACGACAGGGCGGAAAAATTGAACAAAAAGGCGCCGGCAATAGCAATATGTCCATCAAAGTATCTAAACCCGTTTGTCCATGTGCAGGTGGAAAAATGTCAAAGAGGGAAATGCCACTTGGAGAAACAATGTGCTGTTCAACCACCATCTCGCGCGAAGAGAAAACGGAATGAAGCTCTTTCACTCTGGCTGTTGACTGGAACTGAAGACACCAGCAAATTCATCTAGCTCTCGAACGACGGCACTGCAAGACGACCACTCCAGAAATTCTGGCTTGCCCACGAGGTTGGCCTTTAGCTCATTCGTCCCATTCTTCTGGTCCCAGATGATCTTAGAGCGCTCTTTGGATCCAACAGATTCTCACCAGCCCATCCATCCACGTCCACTATCCCAACGCCCAGCACCCATGGCATTCAAAGGCGATAAGACCTCTTTATCGCCAAGTACCACCTCAACGGCACTGTCCCTCCTTCCTACCCATCCCTTCCGCCAACCCCCATCTCTCCCATGGTCGGACCTCTTCCAATTCACCACCCCTCCTAACCACAGTCCTCACGGCGCAGAAGCCCTCTCCAACGAAATCCCAAACGACATCGAAAGACATGATACTTGGGAGACCCCAGACACCGCATTAATAATGGCGGCACCGACACGAACACATTTCTAATGGTGAGTAATAGCGCACATCGGTGGTACGTACAACAACCACCGAATTATGTCCATCTTTTTGTTCTTATAAGCGCCCACTGAAAAGCTCCCAGGAGTCTGTATGCCTCTGGGCGCGGGGTTTACCACAGGATGCGCGGTCACCCACTATGACTCTAAGTGAGTCATCCCGCCCTGCAAAGGCCGCCGCCCGAACGCCACAACCACAGGCGCGCCTTGGGAAAGGTACGAAAAAGGAATGTGCCACGCACCTTGGAGAAGAAAATTTGCAAGTATGGTATATGAGACGCCAGGCTCAAATCGCGTGGAGACAGATGGTAGGCAAGGACAACGCAAAGGATCGAATCATTGAGTACACGGAAAACTTTTGTTAGCCGATGGAAACGTTTTCATTTTCATAGGCGAGATTTGAAGGCCGCTACACCGGCCTCACGTGAATGGCAGCATGAAAGACATTACGGTAGGCAGTTGAGCGCTAACCTGACAACCTAGAAGTCAACAGAAATACGACAGCCAGCTGGCTGAAAGGGGCCCCCCACAGTACGAATCGATCTGTAGCGTTTCGGATCCCTGTCGTGAAGCATTTCGAAATGAAAGCAGGTCGATCTCTGAGAGTGAGGGAAGGCGGACGCGGACGGCCAGAGCATGCCGCCAATGGAGCAGAAAAATAGAACAGACCGTAACCGGTAAATACTTGTCGCCTGGCTCCGGAGAGGCGTATAACTGACGAATCGATAATACAGGCCTCGAGAAACATAAAACGGATGGAAAAATAAGACGCTTTCGTGAAGGAAAGCGTCGTCGGCGACCCTGAGCAGGTCACGGGCCTCCGAGGCGGGTATTAGTGGCGGGACCAAATTGCCGCCGGACTCCCCGGCGCGCGCGCAGTTGTGCCAGTTTGAAACTGAACCTCTTGTTCACTGGATTTTCCCTATGCGCTACTGATGTATCGCGACGCATAGACTCGGACAAACCGGTAAACTACAGTGTGGGAAGACAGTTTTCGACAACTCATACCCCCGGGTTTTTGTACTCATTACCGGAAACTTCATCCTCAAATCACGAAATATAACGCAAACGATGCAGAATGAACTGGGCTACCAGTCTGGTTGGTGTCCTGAAATTCCACCTTTTCATTTCTTGTCGATCGAACGTTGCTGACCACGTCTCTGCATCGGACGCAGCGCCAAGTTCCACATATCATATCACTAAAACCAATCCACAAGCTCAAGCTTCATCTCAATCGTCTAAAGACAACCTTGACCTTGGACGTGTAGTATGTACAGATAGCAATGTAGTATATTTTGTACCTCGTTACAGCAATGATAGCAATGTGTATAGCAAGAAAACGATGATAGCAATGCAGCTCCAAAATCCCAGGGAGCGTAGAGAAGCGAGGTGGCATGCGGAGCCAGCACCGAAATGTATCCAATGATAGCTCCAAATGTCCCAAATGACGACCCGCCCATAGCACAAGTGGAAATGAAATAGAAGAAAATGTGCGGGTAAGATGGAGCGTCCGAGAGAAATATCAACAGAGAAAGAAGACAAGGTTTATTTATAAAGAGTGGATGCGGAGGATGGTGAGAAAAAAGGTGCACGAGCGGTCCCTAATATGAACGAGTTGGCCAGATCACCATGAGAAGCACGTCTCCAAGGTCAAATCGAACCGCCTAGGGCACAATAGTTGCCATCTTCAATCGCCCTAGACCTCACAGTCCCATTCACCCACTAGCATTTCCACGGCCGTGGACGAGCACCAGGCGTTTGAATGCGTTCTGCACTGTCGCCGAAGAATCGCTTCCTTCTGTTGCACTGTTACGTTCTTGATGGCCCTTGGTCGCGGCGCACCACATGCGGCTCAGAAACCCGGCAGCTGCAGGTCCGGCGCGTGCGAGACTGGGAGTCGTCGCGCTGGAAGGTAAAGCGGAGCGACTGCGTCCTTCAGCTAGAACACGGAAGTTTACTGATACAGCACGCTTGGAAGGTGAAACTCGCCGCGCGACACGAGCGAGGGACAGAGTGGACGCGTAAGACGACAGAAGCGGAGATGCGGCCGTGATGGTGCGTACAGAACCAGTCTCGGACGGTTTACGCGGCCGATCAACCTGCAGATGGTGCGCGGATGTCTGAGAGATCGTAGAAGGAAGGTCGAAAGACGGCTTTGCTTGGTTGCGGACGACTGAGGGCAGGTTGTAAGAAGACTCCGTGAACGAGGAGACCGAGCGAGCAGGCTCGCGTTCGTCCTCAGATTCAGACTCAGAAGACAGCCAACTAGAGGAAGAAGACGAGGAGAAGGACCCAGTATCATCTACCAAAGAGCCCATGTCCGAAGAGCAAGAAGAGGCCGTAGAGTCGCTCTGTGCCATTGGCGGGACAACCAAACGAACACTATTGGAGCGATTCGAAGAGGTCGAAGATTGCCTAGACGGGGAAGCCACAGACTCAGAGCGAGACTCCCGAGAAAGAGACGAATGTTCGGAGTCGGTACGAGTCAGAGGATCGCCAGGGGTCGGCGACGAGCTGTGACTTTGCTGAGCCTGGACGCGGGCCATACTAGCTTTGGCGACCTTGCTGACGGCAGATGCCCTTGTGGTGATATCCTTGTCCATGAAAGGTGCGAAGCCATCGACGATTTGTTCCTCAGAGAACCGTAGATCGAAGTCCAGCAAATGAAGCAGTTGCATTTCCATTAGATTTACTTCAGTCACGTCGAACATGAGAGAGTATTTAGCCCAGTGCTCATTCTTCGGAGACGAATCATTGAGGTATTTGGCAGCCACAATGAGCGTGGCTAAGAAAACGCGGTGGCGTGTGCACGACATGCCTGATCATCAGTTAGGTATGACTCCGAGAGAATGAAGGAAACCTGAAGAGATGAAAGAAAATCTCGCCTTTCGCCATGTGGGGCAACTTGTTCTTCAGGCGTTCCAGATAGATAAGGGTCATAAGTAGGGTAGGCGTATGGACATTGGAGCGCTTAATGAGATTGATCATGAAGTCTTTCAAAGGCAACAATTGAGACGGCTGGACATCGCCCTCAACGCGGATGACACCTTCTGTTTGGCGAGTAATGTGCTCGACCATATCGAGAGACACGCGCTTGGCGAGGAGCTGCACAAGCTGAGGATTGTGCATCGAGGTGGGAATCAGGGACGCGGGATGGCGCCGTTCAGGCGAATGGGAGGCCATAGGGACAGTGGCGGGTAGTAGAATGTATTTGAGCGTTCTTGTAGTTTATACCCGTCTAGGGATAAACCAGGGAAAGAGACAAGCGGGTGATGGTGATGAGAGGAGGGAAACAGTAACACCACTGAGCAGACGCTTTATTCCATCAAGTCGCCGATCAGGAAGTTTATCATGAGAGTGAAACACGGAGAATATATATAAATACAGGTGGGTAGTAATGTATGGCCTGGTGGTCTAGTAGTATGATTCGCCCTTAGGGATACTAAACAATTTGGGCGAGGTCCCGGGTTCAATTCCCGGCCAGGCCCCTGTGCAACGGATTGCGTCATTTTTCTTTTCGCTTATTAGCTTTAGGCTTTTGCCCAACACTTGTTTCCCAGTGTCTCACTTGACTCCCACATATGTATGCCCAAATGGCAGTCAAATATACTTTCCACATGCTTATGAATATCTGGTATGTATAAACAGTCATTCGTACATCTGTCCTTTTCCCGCCCTAAAGCCAACGCTGAACAATGACACTATTCTTGAGCCCAGCAGCCTCGATTGTAGTAGAATCATCCTCCAAGACGCGGTTAGGGAACGTAGTTCCAATGCTATACGGCCGACTCGCATTTCCGGGACGCGATCTGCAAGGATGAAAGGGAACTATAAGGACAAGAAAGCAACAAGCAAACGGAGCACACAAACTCACGCGTTGATGAAATTGCGTATATCACCCACTGTGTGCGTAAGGTTCATCAGACTGACGATACGCGTACCGTCCGCTAACCGGATCTGCAGGCTCGTTGTGGGCATGGTGCGGTCCACCTCGAAACGGGGTTGGGCACCAGGAGTAGAGCGACTGGTGCCGCCCAAAAGCCCGAAATCCGGCATAGCTCCAGGCATTGATATTGACGACGATGGTGCAGTCTCAGCAGGTACAGGAGCACCTAGGCGATGGCCTGCACCACCAAAAGCGGACGGTTTGTGCGATGGCACATATTCTTCCTTCGTTCGCTGTGACACGCGCAGCTCGACAGGCTGGCCCGGCCGCACGTTCAGGATGGAAGGTGGTGCACGTCTACAAGATACTCAGCACCTCTACGAAATCGTCAATCTCCAACGAAAAAAATACTTGCCCAGAGTTGATCTCTTCGAGGATTTGTGCATGAGCGGGGTCGTCGTACCGCATGAGCTCGCCATCTTCAACTGAGAATCCATTGCTCCAAAAAGTGATATGCCGAATGGCTGTTTCGTCGGTAGCATCTAAAAAAAGAGAAACAACGATTGAAGACAAATGAAAACACAGTATTTGAGAAAAAGCATACTGGGCTGATTAGGATCAGGTATGAACGCGCTAGGGACGTCATCGCTGCCCAACGTATGTCCGCCACCAGTAAACCAACGGGGAGAGTCTGATGGAGGAGCTGGTGCGGGGCCAGCCCTGTTTATTCGTGGATCAGAAAACAAATCATGGATCTTCAAGATTATGGAGACGTACTCAGCTGCCCGCCGAAGGAGATTGCGCACCATGTCGCCGCCAGGGATGGAACTCGAACCTGGACGATCAGGATTTTGCACAGATATTCCACTATGGAGAATGCATTACGTTACGATACACTCTCCACGAAATCTAGTCTCACCTGCGTTCCCCGCCAGCAAACCAGCTCTCACCGCCTTCCGGTGAGTTATCGTCGTCGTCATCATCATCATCGTCTCGCGAAGGTGGAGGAGCTGAGCTCCCAGCGATATCCCTGAACGTATGGATACTGCCACGATCAGTGTTACGAGCACCGGAGCTGAGAAATTTTCGATATATCCCATTCAGAATGTTGACCAAGTAGCATCTTGCGTCAACGCATACCTTGACTGTTCAGACTCCCATGCGCCGATACGTCCAATGCGCGGAGTAGACGAGCTCGAGTTACGCGCCCATGCGGCTGGGAGTGGTTCACCACGACCTCCACTCAGGGAATGACCAACGCTGCTGTCGTCTTCCGACATTATGACCTAGATGAAACCAGAACAACTAATCGGAGATATCGACGCTGGAAGAACGCCGAATTCGTGGATGCACGAGTCCAGAATCAAAAGACAAGTTTATATCGAAGCGCTGGCCTCTCAAGCAGTGAATGACGCGCGTCTGTCGCGAGGACCGATCGATGATGCAATCACGGATCAGTACATACATAATCCGAAGCAAATGCCCTCCATCAAATTTACAGCTTGGTTGAGCCCTCCCGCCCTTCCGCCGACATACCTACTTACAGGAAATCCTAAGATCGTCGAAGTACCTGCCAATTCATGCCCAAATATAAATGGAGTGAGTAGATTATATATAATCTTTTATCAGGTAATGTGCTGGGCAATGATAACATAATGCCTTCCAATAGACGTTTTTACCATAATGCGGGAAAACAGGTGATGCCACAGTTTAATATACTAACTGGAATGCCGAGGTGCGGAAGAGGACAAGATATGTTCGAGGTCCGATGGCGAAGACAGGATAGCGAAGAAAGAACAGATAAGCGACGTGATAACCAGATATGCAGGAGAGTACGCAAGAGGAAAAGACGGAGACAAAGGCTGAGGCAACACGATCATCAGCGTGGACAGGTTTCAGAAATCGCTCGCGATGAATATACTCTTTATGAGAACGAAGGAACAAAATACCAAAAAAGAGGGAAGAATAGGATAATCACGATGCCGAGGGATAGAAAATTTAACATTTTCATCCACCCATGCATGAGCGGGAAAGAGAGATCTAATCGCAAGGTTCTGGTACGTCATTCTGTTTGAGGGAAATCGTCAGTTCGACATTTGTATCACTGAATAATAAGGAAACTCACAGCCCGGATAAAGGTGAGCATATGACAAGTGATGTATCCGCGCGCGAAGCCTGCGCCCGCGTACGCGAACAGGTATTGCCACTTTCGCTTGAAGGCCTCAAAGTCGGCGGGGTCGCGTAGGGAGGGGTAGTCGCGTGCAATCATCTCTTGTGTGAGGTTTGCTTCTAGTCGGCGTCCCCATTCACGGAGGGTGCGGGGGTAGTGTGCTGCGTGATTCTCGACGGCCTCAAGCGTAAAGCGTCCCTCCGCACCTGAATGCGCGGCTTCGACAAGTGCGGTCGCACTTGGCAGGCACGAGTTGGGCCAGTGGTATTTTCGCATGAAGTCCTCTGGCTGGTACGCTGAGAAACGCGATTCAGGGAAACTCGATGCGCTAATGACAACGGTCGAATTGCGCGGCTTGAGCGCGAAGTCAACGATGCGGAAATACGTGTCATAGTGCTTCGGGCCCACGTGCTCCAGCATTTCGATGCTAACAAACGCATCGAACGCGTGCTCGAACGACGCCGGAACTTCGCGGTAGTCGAGCAGATGAACGCGCACACGATCACTGAGACCTGCAGCGCGGATGCGCTCTTCAGCGAGCGTCTTTTGCTCAACCGAGAGTGTAAGGGTGTCGACTTCACAGCCGAAGGAGCGCGCCGCCTCGATGGCAAGGCCGCCCCATCCACTGCCAAATTCGAGAAGGCGATGGCCTGGTTGTACCTTGGCCTTGCGCAGAACGTGGAATATCTTCCGCCGTTGCGCAGACTCCAAATCACCAGGTGTTGGTCCGTGTACGAGATCTCCCCGCACACCGCCTTCCTCCTCACCCCATAAGGCACAAGAATACATCATTTCATTGCTCAAAAAAGCCTATCAGAAGACTTGTCAGAGACGGCGGAAAAGGAAGAAATGTTTACGACCAAACAAACCTTGAATAGCTCATTGGACTGGTCATAACTTGCGATGACATTGAGCCTGGCTTGTGTGAGTGACTGTCCCACAAGGCCGTTGTAAAATCCGGACACGGTGGATGATATCCTGGAGACAATCGATGACAGGCTGTCCTCCATCCGCGACTGGTTGTCGATCCATAGCTGCGAGAAGAGCGGGAATTAGCATGACCGTAGAGCAAGAGAAGACATCGCTAGCGCATTGTACCTTCATAACAGACTTCAAATCGCTCACTTCAATGTCGCCAATCATGTATGCTTCACTGACTAGACAAAGACACAGAAAAATTAGAATGGTCTGTGCAAGCACAAATAGTGCGCAGGAGCTCACATCCAATGTCGGATGATCTGGAACGAGGAGTGTCAGGCACACATTGCTTTTACCTAATGCTACGGTGCTAGTGCGAGGCTTACATTAACATTCGTAACCAGAAAGTGTCGTCCTTGACCCGGATGTGTGCGGCGTTGCATCCGGAGTGGTAAGTGCCGTATTGACGCGTCCCAGAAGCATCTGAGAGAGTGAGGCAGCCCGATGTGATAGCGTCATTCAGTACGGAGAGAATAGATGTTCGAGCTAGATACGCGTTGCACGCTCGTGGTCAGCACGCCGTCAAGGAACGTGGTGCCAGCCCACTCACCAAACGCGACCAGCCATGAGCGTGGGCTCAGGCTTAGTCTAGGCAGCGCAAACAGCGTCGCTGTCGACGCCTTGGAGAACGCGAGCTCGCGACCCAGTGGGGGAACACAGGGGTTCGACGTAGAGGGCATTATTGCACCTGTTTTTGGAGGGGAGAGATAGAAATGAAAAGTGAGAGATGGAAAGCAGCGGAGGCAGAGGGGGAGGGGCTTTTATACGTGGTGGTGGCGGAGAAGTAAGTGCCCGAAAGCGACGATCAGATTCAAAACAGTGAAAGGAATCAAAAACAATCGGATAGAATACTTTCCAATCTCATCTGCGTGCGCACAGATCTTTGTGTTCACGATGCTCAGATCCAGAAACACCACCCGAATCCCAGATCCACTTTCAATTGACAGCACTCGATCCCCGAGAAAGGTGTTCGCAAGCTTCGGAGTCCAAGCCGCCGCTCTGACAGAAACCAGCAGTCGAGAAACATGATTTTCCGCATTTACGGACATCGCATGCGGGATCCATATCCAGCGATTCGAGGGTTTGAATTTGCAAAATAAGTAGCCACTCCACATTCGTAGGTTTTGCGGTGCAGCACACGAAGCACGCAGCTCTGCCAGATGGCATTCCCATTCAGTCCGAGAAGCAGCGCCCGCGTTTACGTAGCATACTTTCCCATCGAAGACCAGCCACATCCAAAATGACTTGCAGACACCCCCACAACGGATCCAGAGAAATTCCCGGCAAAATGCAATTTCGGATGGCAAAAGCCTGTTGGTATACAATGAAGACTGCTGCGCTCGAATAAGGGCTATAACCTCAAGTAAGTAGACGCAAGGTCTGAGTCAGACAGCCGATAGAACTGCTCCGATTGCGCAACAACCCAGCGGCCTTAGTAAAAAGCACCAGATGGG